ACCGGTTATAGGATGGGTGACCTGTATTATCTCGAGCTCCTCCATGCTTTGGAAAACATGTCATATTAGGTTATAAACAGTTTATAAACCAATCTATACTGGCCCCGCGTGATATGTCATGTCCCAATGATCTCATCGTATCTAACTTTGTTAGTTCGACAAGGTGAACATTTTCAAACATAACTATAGACAGAGAAAGACAAACACCCGGCTTTTAAACTGAGTATTTAAAGTTTCAGTCTTTACATAAACAGGTTTTCGTTTCTGATTTTAGTTTTTTTTATGATAATTGGATAGCAATTTGATAAAACTAGGACTTTTTAACTTGAAACGTAAAAAACTTCGTTAAAATCTATGCTTTTCTTACCGGCTGTTAGCTTACTACTGCCATTACCCTGAGTACAATATAGTTATTAAAGGAGTATGTTGTTACAGGTAAAGATTTCAACGATTTAGAAATGCCGCTAGTTGCTTACTTAAATCACTTTAAGGGATCTTTGTTATACCCGCTAAAAATAATTTTATTCAGCGACATTACCATTAAAAGTATAAAAAACTGAATTTCATCTTATTTTAAATCGAAGTCAGAACTGCGACATAGATCATTCAGATTACATAACTTTTAAATATTGGCTCCACTAACGCCTCTACTGTGCGCTTGCGGTTGTGGCAAATCACAAAATGCATATTTTAAGCTTATTCGGATAAAAAAAGAAAAATAATTTTGTAAATATCAAACACGGATCAGTGATTTATTTTTGTAATATAATAATTGGAAACCACAGAAATAAATTTTTATATAGTGCCAGAAATATTCTTCAGTGTCTTTTTAAAAAAAATAGAACCAACATAAAATTTAAAAAAAAGATTTTATTTTGATTTTTTTTTTGATTTCAAGTCGGAAGTTATTAATCAAATTATAGGCGCCCTACACAATAGCATTTTCTTGAATAAGTCGCTTTTGAGATAAGTAGATATTATTTATCACTTTTTAAAAAATGAAGTCGGCTCTATTTTTTGAAAAAAAAATGTTATATTAATTGATATACGATTTCTGAAAATACCTAAAAGTCTTTTTTAATAAAACCAAATTCAATATTTTACAAATATACTTATTTATACAACAGTTTAAATATTTAAGCAGCAATATTGAAATATATATAATAGAAATCTCCCCATTGATTTTTTTTTATCTTAAATCAAATCGTTGAGAAGTTTAAACATATAACTCTTACGAGATAACATGACACCTGAGAGCTTCATCACACAGAGAGTAAGGGTAATTTTATAATAAGTTATGATTAAATAAACTTCAAATCCAGATGGCATCGTTTAAAATCGTCAAATTTTACCTTTAATTAGGTTTTTCCCTTTTTTATAAATATTTAGCAACACCCCCACGTACAATCATGGAGTATCCACCAGTTGCGGAGACCACTAACGACTTGGAAGTGTTAAGAAAAATGGAAGATGAACACTGCAGGCTTCAAAGACAGGTTACTATTAAATATGGCACTTGTAGACAGTATATTTTCAAATACCTCTAATTATTTTCACACCAAAGAGATAAATAAATATTTTATTTTGTCATGGATTTTTTTTATTATTAACAAAATAATATATCTAATTAAAAGTTGATTTTTTTGTCTGTTTATCGTATTGGATAAGCTCAGAACCTATTGAAACGATTTAGAAAATTTATATCGTCAATATAAAGCTACATGTAGGCTGTATTTTATTTAGAAAAAGCAACACCAAATTGACGTAGTCAGTAACTCTTACATAATAAATAATAAAGTAAAATAACTTTAGATAACAAAAGTAATTGAATACAAGAATATTCTCTAAAAATCGACGAGGCTACGTCTAAAAATAAAATTGACCTTAATTACAAAACTATTCCATTACAATTAAAGTATAAACAAACTTGGTGGGTTTCACCGGCTCTTAAAGAATTTTGTTGGATTCCATTATATCCTTTGTTCTGAAGCTAATTTCTCAAGCCTTCCAAAAGGTATTTCTTTTTTACCAAATCTATAGGTCACTAGGAACTATTTTCACTATTTACTAATTCCTTTCAGTTCCGTACAATCCAAACGGATCGGCTTCACAGGGCGATGGGTGTGCATCCCCAGTTCAGACGTCAAGATCAGCTCATGCAGACTCTCAAGAAGGAATACCTCAACATCTTAAAGGACTTAAAAGTATGGCACAGTCAATGATTCATTCATTCAGACATATGATTTTATTATACATACAAATATATAATCAAATCCCAATATGAAAACAAATTAGTTTAAAACTTGTGAAAACAAAATCTTTTTATGCAGGAATATAATAGATTTATCTGGTTTAAGAACAAATAAGACTTTAGCTCTCATTATTTATGTGATTTATGTTTTTAGTATTTGTTTTCATATTTTCTATGTGGTTACTGTTTATAAAATGTTGTGGATGTATATTCCTGGATAGATAATGGAAATAAGATTAATACTGGTTAATATTTTGATTACAAAAGAGTCGTATTATATTCCGAATAGGTATATAGAGAATTCCATAACTTATTGCTTCCTTGAATCTTCATGAAAAATTCTTATCAAATTCATAAGATTCTCTATTCTAGTTAAATTTATTAGCGGCTTTATTTTATTGGTCAAATATAATAAATTTATGGTGTTATTTTAAATATATAATTCACCTATATTTAATATATAATTTATCCATTCCAGACTTTTTTTTTGTTATTAACAAAATCTACATAGCATAAACCTAAGTCTTTAACAATGTCAATATTCAATCAAATTGTTTAGAAACTGATAACATAAAGGTATAACCATAATGAGCGATTCTTGTTAACTCAGGTCTTAATATTTCAATTTTTTATAATTGTTAGACTCTGGTAATATATATATTTTTAATATTATATCTAGTTTTCAAACACTGTACATAAAGACGTCGTTTATTGTACGTAAATAATTGGTGAATATTATTTGATACTGTTTTGTGCGCTTTTGTTAACATATGCCCTAGAATCATGAATATGCAACATTCCATCGGCACATATATGTGCTAAGATTCACATTATACAACACTCGTTGTCCTAAATAGTGACAGATTGCCAGTCCATTCTAAAAATCAAGAGGACTTTTACAACTCACACATTAAAAAGCTGATACATTATAAAATACTGTTTTAATAATGTTACAGATTCGTAAAAAGATACTTTTAAATGAAAATAAAAGAGATGCCTAATATTTTTTCCATAAAACCCGATTCACAGTGAACGAGACTGCGTCACAATCTTTTGTTAATAAAGGACAATGAGAGTACGTACCTCGGAGAGAAACAATATTTTTTCTTGGTGCGAACGTCTAAAGATCTGTCGACGAGATAGAAAATGGAATGAGCAATCTATTTACAAATAGGTGCCACTTACAAACACTTTGTAACGAAAATGATTGGCTGAACTCTTTTGATGTCCCCCCACTGCATCCCCCGGCGGAGATCGGCAAAGAATATAAAAATTCTTAACGAGAAATTGTAAAAATCTACGTGTTTTTTCTTTCGTCTTTTATGTTTTTGTTTGGCGATTATAATATTTTATTTATAAATGTTTCCATTGAAACAGATTTTTCACCGGGGACTGTTAATTGTTCTTTGTTTTCACCACCATTATCCTTGACCAATATACACCTTATTAAGATTGATAGTCAAAACTGCAAGAACGCCTACCAGTAGTAACAATCAAAAGTTTATTTAACATAAACTAGACTGTATAAAATCAAATCATTTTGTTAAGGTGTAGGCTTTCATTGATTATGGGAAAAGTATTTTAGTTGACGTTTGTGGTTTCCGTACCTCATGAGGAAAACTTATTTGTAAGTACGTTTGTCTGTCCGCCTGTCTTAAATACCTGATTGAGTCCGAAACTGTTGCACCGATCGAGTTGCAGTTTAATACGTACACAGTGTAAACTTTTTAACACAACCTTTTTCTTCGTATGTATAATAGAAAATCACTAAATGGTATTACAAATGATTGTGTATATCATATCATTGTGAGAACCTCAAATGCATTTATCATAAGCTCAAAACAATTCGTTTGAAACTATTTAAAAAACAGACAGTATATGACCAAATTTTAAAAACAGGAGTCTGATGAAGTCTCTTCATAAGCGATACGGCAAGACAATATAAAATCTATTTCCTCAATCATCAAATTTTACTTTCAAAGTGAATGGTTCTACTTCATTCAAAGGATGGCTCTTTTATTCTCCATTCCTTTCTTATATATTTACGAGCTCAAAAATAACTTATAGTAAATTAATATCAATTTGAGTTAAAAAAATTAAACATTTTACATTCTTGAAGCCCTACCTATGTAGGTGTATATTGTAAAGACACACATACTATGTTATATTAATATCGCAACCTCTTTTAACGTGGCCAGCGCGCCAATTACAAAGTGTCAACATCTCTGATCAGAAGAAAGAAAAAAATTATATTCTTATATTCACAGCCTATTTATGCAACATATCCGTTATTAATAAGAAACTTTGTTACAGATTGCCAAGTCCGGCACACATAAAAGCAAACGGACAAGACTAGAATCAGATTTGAAGGCTGCACTCCTACTCAGAATGCAAACTGAGATGGAATGCGATGGTGAGAAAAGATAATATCTACACAAACCTAACATGCCATTACAGACTAGCTAGACTAATAAATATTTTGAGTTTTGACATGAATTGGAATATACGACATGGTGTATTACGTCTAAAAACAGGAGCTTAGTAGTAGGTCTTTTGTACACAGCATAATATGAAATCGCTTCCTGTCTGAGATCTTTTAAATTATACAACTTATTTTCATATGATTTTCATCAATATATAGAGTGTTTAAAAAATTGTACATATATAATTCTTGGCGAAGCCGCTGGTGGAAAGCAAGTATAATATAGTCAGGTAATGCAAATAAACCTTTGCAGAAGGATTAACTGTGATGGAACAACTTGATGGAGTCTTGCAGAGGAACAGCAAAGAAATGTTGAAGCTCAGAAAACTCAACAATGCTAATATGGGACAGGTGAACTAATATAAATATTGTATAAAAAATATCACATACAAGCATGACATAAAAACTAAAAAAATAGAACCGTAATGTTTGAAGTTGGTTCATTTTTTTTTAAGTATTTTTATGGGATAAGGGGGCAGACGAACAGACGGATCACCTGATGGTAAGTGATTACCATCGCCCATGGACACCTGCAACACCAGAGGGGCTACAAGCGCGCTGCCGGCCTTTGAGGGACGAACATGCTCTACGCTCGAAAGTTTGAAGGTCGTATCGGTCCGGAAATACTGCAGGCGACAAACTGTTCCAGAGTTTGACTGTGCGAGGCATCCAACCATCCAAATGATGGGCGTGGATTTCTTGTCGCGTGGAACGATGGCGGAAGGTAGCGGCAGGTATGAGTCCGAATAATTCCTCGAAGCATTCCCCGTAATAGATGCGATAGAAAATGCACAGTGAAGCAACATCTCTACGCCAGTGGACCAAGCCGACTTGAAGTGTCCCGGCAATCAACGATTCGAGTCGCTCTCCGCTGAATGCGGTCTAAAAGGAGAAACTAGTATTGCGGTGCCCCTGCAAAGAGATGAGAATAGTACTCCATATGGGGCCGAACTTGCGCTTTGTAAAGCTGCAGGCGATGTGCTGGAGTGAAATACTGCCTCGATCTACTTAGCACACCAAGCTTCTTAGATGTTATTTTAGCCTTACCCACTAAGTGACCACGGAACTGGACCTCGCTCGATATGTCGACACCAAGAAACTCAATATTGGCTGAGTTTATTTTTAATATAAATCTGTACTAATATTATAAAGACTTGTTTGTTTGTTTGCATCGAACAGGCTATGAAACTATTGGACCAATTTAAACCTTTCACCTACGGGAAGCTACATCATACGCGGTAGACACACACCAAAATTTAAACGAGTGAAGTATCGGGGAAATATAATTTAAAAAAAAAATTATCTCGGTGGCATAACGGATAAGGGCCGCGATTCGCGATCGTTGTTGTTAAGCAAATTTCGCAAAGGTCGGTCACGGGATGGGTGACCGAAAAATCATTATCTCGCGCTACTCTGTGTTATGGGAAACAAGTAAACCTGTTGATTCTGGCTGCACTGACAGTGTTTAATACCCCCAAATACTCATCGTAGAGGGTGGTCGCCCATCCTCCAGGATGGCCTGAGAGAGAACAAATATCTCAAGATATACGTCAGTTCTTAAGTGATTTTTCAGTGTATTTAGGGGATAGCTAAAATATTTATGGAATGTGGTTCTTATATTTATTTGTCAATTGATTACTAAGAAGTCTGTACACGTCGCAGATGCTGATGCGCCAACAGGAAGGTGAAAGCCGATTGGTTTCAACAGAGAACAAGCTGGAAGCAGCCAAGCTGCGGTTCAACACCATCCAATGGGAGAACAAGAAAATTAGGGAAGAAATCGAACATATGCTAAAGGATAGGTAGATAACACTGCTTAATCGATTAGCGGGATCTATATGATTTCAACCTAACCTCCTAACCTTCTCTTTACGGTGGAACAATGTTTGTTAACTGCATTTTCTAATGCAATGCAATAAAATGTACCTATTTAAACATAAACTAACAATTTTTTTTTTTAATACCTCTGTAGCCCATGTCTATATTGGTTGCATCATATATGTAAATATTTATATGTATTGTTTTCACGGTAGGTTGTCCGCCGAAGTGCTGTTTTTGACCATCTGTATTGTGATCTCTGCGTTTGTGATCTGTAAACTTTTCTATATTCGAGTTCGAATGGTTTTTTGATAACTTATTTTGTTTTTTATATGCAGATTGAACCGTTACAAATTATTTAGCTGTTTGGCAACCGAAAGATGTCTCTGGTATTGTTATATATTTCTTTATTAATTTAATTCAGAGCTGCATTCAATCAGTCGTGGAAAAAAATGATGGCCGCTTTGTCTAAAGGCAAAAAATTCTTAACGGACCTATTTGAATCATCGACACTCGCTTACGACCAACGTGATGAAATATGTGCTAAACTCCGCTCGGTCCAGGAGAAAGCGAAGATGGATCAATTGCAACAAGTTCAGGTATATAAATTGAATGTTCATCTTCCAAAATATACCGTAGAACCTGGGCTTTGCAGAATGATTTACTTACTTATAAAGTAAAATCCTTGTAAGTAATTTAATTTACACTATTTGATATTCCCGCCCGAACTTTTTATCACCCAAAATACCTATTGAACAATTTATAAAGAAAGCCATTATTTACATTTTTGAAATTTTAGAATTGAATTAATTGCAAGGGCCAGGTTCTACACGTTAAAATAATTCTAAAACACTGATATTAAAAGTAAATACAATGTCTACATTTTATAAGTATTACCTAGATAAAACTGCTTCGTTTATATTTATTATGTAACTTCGTTTATCTTGTAACAATTTTACAATTATTTGGAAGGAAATGCGAGATCATCAAAAGGCATTCGATCATGAGATGAAGCTCTTCCACTTTTTAGCGAGGAAAGGCGTAATGAGGATTAATGACAAACAGACGGAGCGAGAGGAAGAATGGAAGAAGCAAAAAGAAGAGAGAGAACAGCAAGAGTACGCGACGCATACGAGAATACTCGACGATATTTACGTGAGTGAAATTAAGCAATAATAAATTTATCAATTGGAAATCCACGTTTCGTAATAATTCTCCTTATTTCGTTCAGGAATACACAAAGGAGGATGACATAAACAAAATCATAACCAACTTCAAAAAGACGGAACACAACAATTTCTCGATTTACATACTTCTTACGGAATTCTGTGCTGAGAACGTGGTCTTAGAGAAAGAAGTCGCTAATATCAGACGACAGATCGGTGAGATACATATTTCTTTTAGATATTGATAAATCATAAATCAAGTAAGAATAAAATTAAACCATTGTTTATTTACATCATTTTTTAACTTTCAATTAACAACCAGCCAAAGACGTGTCGCATAGTATAATAACAAGATTACCGAAATTGCTAATATATTCTTCTTCTAATTCCAATATATAATGTAGCCGGCACAATGTATTCATTCAACCGTTTTGTCGTTTACTCTCTTCACGTTCGTATTAAATTCATCTTCATTTCTATCATTCATATCCATTACTTTATTGGCAATTGAGATTTCATCCCTTCTCATAAAAAACTCATGCTAAATCAATAATATCATTATACTATTGTGGTTTTTACAACAGTCCTATAATACTGTCGATAATATCGTAATTCCGTGGTATCGATATTTGTATAATTTATCGCCGTATCGGCGGATAATAATATTTCAAGATTAACTATAAAATGCAAAAATTCATATGCAATGCAAAGCAGTGCAATCATTTCTCTTTCAACTTTTCTATCACGCATGATACACGTACATATTTCACATTTTTCTTAAACAGTTACTCATTTTATACATTATCCATTAAAAGAGTGATCCTTTGGTCAGCGAACAATCATTTTAATTAGATAATTAAAATGTTATGTTTATTTATTTAGAAGACAGAAGAGATTGGAATGAAAAGAAAGATTTAGAACGCGAAACAATCATACAGAAGTTAAAACTCCATCTAGAAGAGAAACAAACTACCACAGAGAAACTGAGAACTAAACTAGCAGAACAAGAACAGATGCTTAATAGAACAATGGAGAAAATTGGTGAAATATTCAGGTGATTAAAAAATTGATAGTGATTAATGCTTTCAGACATCGAATAAGTTGGCGGGCTGCAGCTCGTTTTACCATGATAGGATATTGTGCTTCTTTGTGTCAATTTTTCACGAACGACGGCGTCATAAATTAAAAAAAAAACATAAAGAGCTAAAATAAACGATGACTTAATTATTTTTTTAAGCTCCATTGATTGTTATTACATCAGAAACAAAATTGGAACGATCAAATTGTACGTAGTACCTACTTATTAATTCTATGCGATCAGAACGCATATCATAGACTATTTCATTGGACACTTCAAATGTTGCCAAGTATCAAAAATATCTTTATATATATTTTTCAAATACTACACTATCCCTAGAGGTAAGTTCATAGTTAACTATACAATTGCCACACATTAACCATGTAAAAATATACTTTTCTCATTCTCGATTCTTCAGACAGCAACAAACGACATCATAAGTGAAATTCTTTCAAAAATAAATTATATTATTTTAACTCAGTAAACATGTATTATATATCAGAGAACATTAATTTACCTCCAGACACGTCGTAACTCCATATATGCGATAGCAACAACATGTACAGCTAAATTAGAAACGTGTATTAATTAACAGGGCACATATTGTATCTAATACGTAAAGCTCGGTACGGGTTCGATGTTTGCTGAGGTATAAATCGTTTTCGTTCTATATAAAACCACTAGCTGTTTTCTCGTGACTCTGCCTGTGTAAATTATAGCCTATGTAAAGCCTATCTGATGTAACTACCCATAGGAGAAAGAATTTTTAAAATCGGTCCAGTAGTATCGGAGCCTTTTCGATGCAAACAAAGGATCACACAAACAAATAATCAAATCTTTCCTCTTATACTTACTATAAGGATAAATCATATAAACTGAGGATCAAAATCTAAAGGCAAACGTCTAAAGAGGTTCTTAAAATAAATATTGGTGTGTCGTCGTGAATGAAGTGATCTTGCTCACTTGCATAAGATTTTACATGGCCACATTGACTCTCCCTACCTTCTTTCGCTTTTCTGGTTCAACACAACTACCGTTTTCGTAATCGAAGGATATTCTCAGTGAACTTCTATCGCAATAACGCTTATTTCTTAAATCTAAAAGGCCGTGTGTGCTACCAAAACAAGGAACTCTTTAAACATAATGTTAACACTGATTTATTCAATTGTAATAGAAACTTGATTATAAATAAAATCAGATAACATTTTCCATAGTTTGTAATGATTAATTTGTTAGATAACTTAATTTATTTTGTTTCATTCATTTAAATGAAATAATTTATTTAATTTTACATTATTTTTAATTAATTATAATTCACAATAGTATTTAATCATATTACGAATGATTATTTAATTGTACAGTAAACAACACGTTAGTTATCACAACAGAAACATGCTGTTGGGTTATGATCTGTACCATATAATTTGTTTATACTATTTGTAATGGAATTAATTGTAATTTATTGTATCGTAAATAAATAAATATGTATTTGCACTGAAATTGAGCTAAGCAACTACAACACTTGTCACATGTGTTATGGAAATCGATAATATTATATCGATTAGTACTGACAGACTAACATACCTACGTTTAATTGTTTCAACAATTATCATTAAATGGACATTAGTGATTTCAATCAATGTCAGTGACAATGAAATGTGTTGCTGTGTTATTACTTATTACATACGTGTAATAGTTTATACATAACTATGTTTATAAGTCCTAATTTAACAATGAATGAAAGGTAAGTTTCATATATGATACAAAGCAAACGAATGGATATCCATACAGCCATGTCTTCAGTACTGTTAACTTAGTAATAAGTAGTACCAAGATGTTGAATATTTGATAAATTTCGCTAATAGATTAGACTTAAGTTGGGACTTAATTTATCAACATGCATCAACTTATCAACTAGGTTGTAATATTTTTGGACATTACTGCTCTCCCGCCAATTTTAAGATATAACGCAGGTTATTACAATAAGAATTTAAGGGACAACTAAGATACGATCATGTGACAGAATTTATTATTATTTAAATCGATATTATAGCTATTATATTAGAATTTTATTGTAGCTATTATAATAAATTATAGTAAGGATAAACAGATTTTCTTGTCACTTTCAATCAGTAACCCCATAAATTGACAGGCTCATTTTATATGGTAGATGGGCTAAAATATTAAAACACCAAAAGTTTTATTATTAAAGCTATCATAAAATAATAAAGAAGAAACCCATTACCTCAGTAGGCTTTCACAACACAAGTATGACACGTAACAGACACATTATTTTTTTCGTTGTCATATCAGAGTGGTTGAAGGGTAAAGTCTAGTTAAATAAATAACAAGTACCTGGGTATATGGTTTAACAGTAACTATGGTTAAGAACTTACCAAAATAAAACGATAAGAACTACCCAAAAACGGTATGGGCATTGAATGCACGAGCCGTTTTTTAGACTATTTATTAGGTATCAACTGAAAGACTAGTTTACGATTTACTGATACTGGAGGTACTAGAGGTGAGTTTTTAAGGTATCGTTGTTTGAAGTGTCCTATTTAACTTTATTATGTAACAGCCCCCTTACTCTCGAACGCAATCGCTACCGATCGACATTGCAATTATTTCGCTCCGCACTCTTGATGGGTTCACTAGCATACTCTGGCGCTAGTGTACCCAATCAAGAGTGCGATCACAAGTACGTCACAAGTGCGAGTACGTCACAATTGCAATGTCGATCAGTCGTAATTGCGTTCGTTAGTAAGGGGGCAGATCTTTATTGCGCATATATCGCAGCAAACTGCTTAAAATCTTTTTTCGATTGGGAATTGATAACATCTTCGTGTCGAATGTTATTGCATGTCCTAATTTGTTGGATAGAAATTTTGTTAACATCATTTCTGTTGATAATGGGAGAAAAGACAATTTTAAGTAAAGTATCGCGAAGTCCGTCTCTGTCTATTCTATTTGATGCTTTATTGTTGGATATTTTAATTCGTTTCATAGAGGTATTGATAGCCACACAATTATGATCCGTGACTGACGATTCTATGACAATACAGATGGATTTTGGTTTTAAGCAGGACATGATCCAGGCACGTTTGACCTCGGGTAGTCATATGAGTATGAACTGGAAGTAAACCTTTAGCCGTTAGATTTTGGTATTGGTAACGTCTGTTATCTTGAATTTATACTGAATTTATTCTTATATTTAGATCCCCTAATAGGATTATATTTTTAGTTGTGCGAAAGTGTTTTTAAAAAGCTATCCAACGAGGTAATATAAGTACTAGGGGGCGGTCAATACCTATTATACAAGTATCTGGGTTTACTTTAAGGTCAAAGCAATTATTTTCTGCCATTTGCATTACTTCAATAATTGGAGAAATTTGTTTTTTTTTTTACCCAGTTTTAATTCCTATTATTTTGAATGCAATAATGCGATTATTATATTTCTTATTGCTTTGAAAGGTGTCTATTCTAAACATGATCGCTGAGCCTGGTGAGCCAGCTTCTGAATTCTCTTCATATAGATAGACCTATAAGGCTTCTTCCCATATTGTCTTGTGACGGGTTCGGTGCTTGTAATTGGTTGGAAAATGAATCGGCTGACTAGACTTGATAAGTTGGTATATTGATAGTCTAAATATAAAAACCCTTTCTTGGGTTTATCTAATACAAATTTATACAAATGCACTTCATAAATATCGTAAATCACAGCATAGATGTTAAATGTACATACTAAAAATATTTTATTTACTTTCAACGACGGTCGTTTCGGAATTCGATGCGGAAACATAGGACAAAATAAACGGTATGGTACAACGCACCGTTACAATCTACGTTGTTTGACAAACTTCTATTGAAACGCCTTCAGCCAGTTATTAAAGAACAAAATGTACCTGACCACCAATTTGGCATCATGTCACAATAAAACAAATACATCAGGTTGCCCATACCATAAGACAAGCTCTGGAAAGGAAGAAGTATTGTTCCGCGGTGTTTCTTGACATTCAACTAGTTTTCCACAGGGTTTAGCATGTGGGACTTCTATGTAAACTCAATCTGTCTACCAAACTACTTTTACATGCTCTTAAAGTCATACCTCGAACATCATCTTTTTCAAATAAGAGTATGAGAAAGTTTGTCAGGACTCAAAGAAGTTAGAGCTGGAGTGCCTCAAGGCTCTGTTCTAGGGTCCGTGCTGTGTACGTACATTGAATCGAATATTCCCACATCAACTGATCACCACCGCCACATATGCAGACGACACTGCGGAGTCTTGTAGTGTGGATCCCAAAGTTGCCTCAGAAAATTTTCAAAAACATCTTAATAAGATTGCTTTATGGCTAAAACAACAGAGAATTATGGCTAGTGCCTGAAAGTCGATGCATATAACTTTCGCGTTCAAGAAACAGGACTGTCCCACCGTTAATATCAATAGTACTATCTGGTAAAATAAGATAAGATTCTGATGAGGTATTATCAGACTATAGGGATGATGACTAATTTTTATTTCTTTTTTGCCGGTAACGTAGATTATTGAAGAATATTAAACACATTTTTTTTAATTTTGTGCGCAAATTACAAATTAAGGCAATACATTGAGTTGAAATGTCGCATGACGTCACGCTTTTGTACATTGTCTACGAAACTGTGACGTGACGAACCTCACTCCTCAACTTTAGTGCCTATTAACTAAGCCATTTCTAGTTAAATTGAAGCAAAAAAAATAATCTAATATTTTTCTAATATCTGGCTGACGGGCTAAATAGAGTTTCTTTTTTTCTACCCGGCCATCTATCCCTATTGTTAAGTATTTGGGAATGCACATCGACGGACAACTAACTTGGAGAAACTATATAAAAACTAAGAGAGATCTAGCTAACAGAAAAATGAAGGAAATGTAATGCTTAATCCAAAGAGTAACAATACTGAGCTTGTAAAACAAAATTCTCTTATACAAATCTATTTTCAAACCTATTTGTGTCCAATACGGAAGCTCTAAAGTTCAGCTAGCCATTCCAATGGCTAATGGAAACTTCAATGATTTCAAAATGCTGCCTTCAAGATCTTGTGTAACACACCTTCGTTTACAAAGAATGTGAAGTGCACGAATATCTGCAGATGCCATACAAAAGATAATATTAAAAAATGTTCAAAAAAACGACTTGAAAATCATAAAAACTAATTGAAATAGAGAAAGAAAAAGAATAAAAATATATATATATATATATATAATCAGTCCAGTGAACAAAAATCAAGTGTTTACTCTTTATGATATCAATATGAAAAATATCGATTGTTATAAAAAAAATACCTAAGGACAAACACACAATATATTTTAAAGTAGTTTCAACAAAATAAATTATATATTTGAAATGGGACAAGCTGTTTGTTTGAAATACATAAAATCATTCGATTGGCCGGCTGGCTTGCGTGGTACGCCCCGCTTTATTTATTTTGGATTTAAACTAATCTGCTTAGGCGTTTCTTAGTTAAGATATGGCTTGTTCTAGGTTAGTGAAAACGTTTCATTTAAATACTTTTTACATTTTTTTGTTTTATTATCCCATTATCCCAAATAGATTTTACAATTTTTTTATTTGTTTTATTATCCCATTGTGACAGAAAAACCTATTGCCAAAATTGGACAAAGTGTTTTTAGTTAATGTTCAAAACTAAAGGAACTATTTTTTTGTGATTAGTTGTTTTTTATTTTGGTTTATTCGCTAAACACTGTTTAGTATGACAATTAATGAAAGTTAGTAATTAAATTTGTATCTAGTCGTTGCAATTTTATGTTATTATTGTAAATATTTTTATGACAAATGTTCTGCTTCCAACTTAAAAACTATTTTTATCGATAATAATAACATAATAAATCCTTAATTACATGAAGTCACAATTGAAAATCTTATGTATCTAAGTACTGAAACCAAAGACTTAACTCTCGTGTTTCTTTGTTAAATGAGTAGCGAAAATAAATTTAGGAAATGACATACATAACCTGCAAACTGTTAATTTTTAATATTTATGTGGGCGCCTAGCCATTTCATTGAGTTATTCAATTAAATAACTAGCTGTTATATGCTGGGTTCTTATGTATACTTATAACAACACTGGCAGTCGGTTTGTGTAACGTTTTATATTAAAAATGTACTCTTTCATTACTTTCCTTCCTTTCTATTGAATATTGTGTATTACTTGTTCGATAAATAAAATATTATTATTTACATACAAGGCGTTTTCAATGCATCTTACCCTACCGACAGCCAGTCCATTAAGAAATTACATCCACGCAGCATACAAACGCTATTTATAAAATGATTTTACCATTTGAAAAACTTTCTCCATAAAAAATAGACTGTTTCTGTATGGTGGGCCCATACAATTTCTGTAGTTTATGAGATTTAAATTCTTTAATACTATTTAGATGCTATTTAATATTATACCTGCTTCTTTTCAGAATGTTGAATTGCTCACTGGTGCCTTTCCAGAACCTCCTCGGAGATAAGCAACCCTCGCTTTACCAGTTCAAGTTATCACTTCAGCTGATAGCCGACAAAATTAAGGAGCACATCGAAACTGTATATTACTACGTATGTTAATTAATTCTCTTATGTGACACCATCATCGTGTCCAATGATTATTACACGAGCCGATTATTACATAATCTTTATTCAAATAGATTTCTTAAAAGTACTTTTGAATCGTCCAACATTTTTTCCCTACCACTCGTTCAGGACGTGTTTTGGCTAATGAGAAGAACGAGAAAGAAACTCACCAGCTTAACCCTCTCCCTCAATCAAAGCAACTGAGAGATCTAATTTTGCTATCTAATTGTTCATTTTTAATCTATGTTAACATTTATTACCCAGTTATTAAGGTTTAAAATACTCAATTATGTTTTATTTGTACTCACCAAAGAGTTAAAGTATGGTAGATGTAGAATAGAAAACCCATAAAAAACTATAGTTTCGTTCGGTTCGGTTCGATTTAAACAAAATTTATTTAGTAGAATTGGCCCCCTGATCAAAATACTGATCGAAACTGATCAAAATTCATGAATAGAAGGGTGATTCTGTTTTCAAATTTAATATAATCTATCAAATATTAAATTGTAAATAATAAACAATTATTTACGCTAATACAAGTTTGATGTCATCCGCTGCATTAGTTCGAACGAGTCGTGATGGCCGCCATTTTCGTTCAATCTTATGTCAATATAAACAAGTATTTTTGAGTTTAGAAAATGAGTTTCAAAATAGAATATGTCACGAAATCGATTTGTAAATAAGAGTACCCTATAGTTACGTCACGTATCGCGTTAATAACAAACAAATCCGTGAATTTCTTGGACTTATTACCAAAACATGAATTTTCCTCTTTAAAAAATATTTGTTTGATAGAGTAACGTTACATTGGATAGAGATCTAATGTAACGATACTCTCAAATCCTTTTATTGGTATTTTAAAATTGTGTTTATTCTAGACATGTAGTTCAACCTATATTACAATCTTTAAAGGAACATTGCATCCAGAAAAAACCCAAATCCAGCACATCGCGGTTAAAAAAATACACAATACAGCCGAAACTGGCGGACTTTTGGACCCCCACTCACATCGACTTACTGGTGCCGGCTACTCCCTGTCCAGCGTAAGTGTGGGTGATAAAGAGGTTAAAGTTGAATCGATGTCAGTGGTTTGTGAATTGTGACCCCGTGTATTCAGAGCCAATATTGCACTATAAGAATAATGATGGTCAGTCATTTGTTTTGACACTCAAGATACAGTGTGTTTCTAAATTTTTGATTTTATTAATGAAATTTAAATTCTAGACTATTCCAAATACTAGTGAAAGTCGAACTATTCGAAAGAGTCGTATTAATGCTACCAATCTGAAAAAACATGGTTTTGAGTTTGAATTTCAACCGCAAAATCTTAATCATAAACTAATCATCTTAGAAATGTACGAAATTACCTCAGGTGCGTTGAATCTCGCTGGATCTCTCGCGTAATAGAAAACTTGGAGGTGCCGTTTGACCACCAGATGGCACTTGAAGCTCTATCGGCGCTGATCGAGGAACCAGCCTTCTTGCGAAGCGACCGCGTACATCAGCTCAACGAGTGTCGCGTGCCAAGTAGCAGGGCTATATTGGCTAAGAGATATATGACCCATTGATTTAATAAAATGTTGTCCTATTAATCAGTGACACATATTTCATTTCTTATTTAAATTTGTCTACAGGTTATATAATCAACGTTTTGTAATACACAGAATTTTCATCCAAAAGGTTTTACAAATTCTATTACATTACAATCTCGTATAATGTCTAATCATTTCTAATAGACGAGTACTGTTATACATCTGGTGAGAATTAAGATTCCATACGTACTTTGAAGAAGGAGTTTACAGGGATGGAACTAGTGTATTAATTTTATTTATTTATGAAATAAATAGACATATTACATTAATGAATGAATGTCGTGATTTTCCGTGCTGAAAAAGAACTACCTTATTAATTATATTAACAAAGAAAGCTTGTTCCTCCACAGTGACACGTTAGTATACTCAACACCATGACAAATAATGAAACTTGAATAGAAGAATGCATGTAGTCTTTCTTGAATGAATTTCAAATCGATCGGTAATAATTTATAATATTTATTGCATCGATGTGGCAGTAGCAGACCACTTATTAGGTCTCTCTTAAATTCCGGCGCAAATTCTCATGCTTTTTAAGTGTTATTCGTGTAATTGTTTTCTTTTCCCATTTTCATCCCTCAGTGCGGCCCTGGCCCGTCAGTCACCTCCAATTTGGCCCGGCCTCCATCTCGCTCGGTCATGATTTATCGTCCGAGCCTTGAGTGATAACTGAACCCTTTCCCAAATGAATTCATATTCTGTGAGCTTGTAAAGGTACAGCTGTACTGTAAATACTGAATGTATCTGACGTTCAACAATTATACGTAGGTACTATAACTAATCATACCAATATTAAAATTGAAGCGGCAACAGAAGTACAAAATCTGTGAAAAACCAACTGTCTAATTTTCACGGTTTATGTGATACGGCCTGGTGACAGACAGACAGGCTGCCAAGTCTTAGTAATAGGCTTGTCGTTTTATCCTTTGCTTACGAAACCCTAAAAATTAAAGATACTGCCAAAAATCACTATTCCACGAGGACAAAGTCGCGGGCACCGCTAGTATTGAAATAAACGAATCAACAAACCAGTTTCATACTACTTAGGTATTCCGGAATTTCAAAGCGCTTAAAAAGGCGGCTACCAATTGAATTCAAAATGTATAAATACATTTTGAATTCAATTGGGAAGTATTAAGTCCCATAGAGCCTTAGGTACAATAGAGCCTTGTAAAAGGCTAATGATCTTCTTTCGGAAATTCTATACTCTAACACTTAATATGTAGTTACGTTGTTAAATGGATATTACTCATTTAGAGATAGGTCCTATATGATATCGCAATGACCTTTCTAACCGAATGACTAGCATGCCGTTTTCAAAGTGTAGCCATCATCAAGATCCTGGACTTGATTCTCAGCCGGGTCAATGTAGAACATGAACTTTCCGGTCCCCATAGTACAAGTGCTGCTTCATTGTAGATCTAAGCCATTATTTATTTCTCAAAAAACCTATCGATTGTCAGCTGCCGCTGCATGGCTCTCAAACACTTAAACAAAATGTTAAATTGGTGCCTCGTGGTAAATCCATAGTAAGATATTTTATTGTTAGAATAATACTATAATATAAAAAAGGCACTAAAACAGAAGCACCCGTAATATAATACTAAAATGTTTTTGTAACGTCATAATGTTAGACTAATGAAGTGATTTGAAATTAAATTTATAAAAATCATTTAAATTGATGTTAAATTTTTCAAGAAAGATTGAAGTCGGGCTGAGATGTTCTTTCGTTTAATATATGACTAACTTTTGCCCGCAACTTCATCTACATGGTATAGTCACTTTGGGCAGCAATTTTAAAAGTGCTTAAACAAATAATAATTCATTATATCGTGTAAAATATCTGCTTAAAAAGTTTCGTGATTTTATTTTCGTGAACGAAATTTCGTGACGAATTTCCATTCAAATTATGATCGCTTATGTGAACCCTTATATCACAATAAAAAGCAACCTATATTCAGTGGCGTAGCTATACCGTTTGAGGCCCGTGGCAAATTCATCAGATATTCTATTTTTTTTTTACTAATTGTGTAATAAAGCTGTGGAGTTTCTGAATAATAAAAAAAAATGTCAGGAATAAGGAGTCTCCTCTGACCGGGGGCCCCTACCAGTTGGGGACCCGTGTCATTTTGGCAAATTATCACCCTGTAGTTACGCCACTGCCTGTATTCTATGTCCTCAAGTCAACACTGTTTAGTGGGTTAGGCATGACAACAAAAATTAGTCATATACACAGATCTACTTTCACATATACATATAATATTTGTGTGGCAAATTAAACGCCTCTCCTTGTCCCTCATCACGTCATATAATAAAAGATTACCAGAATGTTACTAAAATTAATAGACTAAGAACAATTTACATTAATACTGCATAGTCGACTTTTAAAATCACAGCTGTTTTACGAGTTTAAATTGCGGAGGTGGAAACTTGATTTTGATATATAATTAATATGTCATAAGGAGCGCGATGGTACAGTGGTTAGTCCGCTCGGTCTGCGATACGGTTAATTATATTTATATATACTATTAGATAAATTTATTACAATGACAAATCAAATAGTAAACAATGGTTGCTATGGTAACATTTGGATTTCCCATAAAAACTTCCACTCCCATTTTCGTCTCTGGTTTTTAGGATAAAATATCCCAAAAACCAGACTACCAGCGCTTTAGGCAGTGCGTTGTCCGTCAGTCAGTATGTCAGGGCATCTCTTTTTATCTATGTTAGATAACAGCTTGGCCTCAATGTTTCTTGAAAAAATTAACCGCTTTTAAGATAAGTATTTATTTTTCATTATTTTTTAAGTTTGAAGTCGGTTATATTTTTTGAAAAATGCTTTTATCCATTATTTTTAGTTACACTTATAAATATAGGTATATCTATATAAAAGAAATTAATTTACATAACGAAAGCCCTGATTTTTTTATTAATTTACACGTAACCACAAAGAAATCGGTTTACATAAAAAATGTGCTGTTGCCGAAAATTAGCTGAAATAATAGTTGTTTGAAAAGATAAGTAACTCGGTGGCGAAGTGGATTAGCGCCGCGGCCCGCGATCGTAGTTGTTAAGCAATTTTCGCAAGGGTCGGTCACGGGATGGGTGACCAAAAAATTATTATCTCCCTGCTTCGGTAGGCACGTTAAGCCGTTGGTCCCGGCTGCATTTGCAGTCGTTAATACCCTCCAATCCGCATTGGGCCAGCGTGGAGGGTTATGGCCCATCCTCCTTAACCATCCATAAGGAAGGCCTGAGCCCCTGCAGTGGGGACGTGAAAGGGCTGATGATGATGATGATGATGAAGATGAAAAGATAAAAATAAAAAGCTTTATGACTTCAGAATGACATATAATAATTTTTATAAAATAATACAATAAATAATAAGTATGTAAAAAAGGTATTTAACCTCCTTTGTCGGTAACACATACATACCCGTTGAACATAGAAATTCCTTTTTTTCTCTTCCTTTTCGTATATTTATGTCTCTTGTTTTTTCTCTGATATAAACATGTCATCAAAATATTTAGATGATATCAAATGGAAAGCATATTTGAACTTCTGATTAGATCTCGGCCCTGCTAAGCTGTCTAATAAAAAAGGATCTTTTATTAGACAGCTTAGCAGTAGCAAAATCGATTCATAATTGGCGAAGTAATCGCGAACCAAACGCATAAAAAAATCACTGTACGAATTCGAATTGAGAACCTCCTCCTTTTTTAAGTCGGTTAAAAATCACATTGAATGATTTAAAATACATTAAATGATTTCAATATTGTGATTAACACGATACAAATATAAATAAATGCGATGCCTTGAACACAGATATTGTTTAACATAGCGTCCTTCCACTAGACAATCTTCAGAGAAATAACCACCGACCTTGAATGAAGGACAAACCGATTGCACGGCGATGACCCGTCGGTATTGCATCCTTGATGTCGCACCCTCCTCATCCAGTTATATATTGGAACATGGAACCAACCTTCGAGCAACGAATTGAACTTTTATTAAGCTATCGAAGACTACGTTTAGAAGCGGGACGAATCGGATCATTTGCAGCTTTATTAACTCGTTGATTTTAATACTCTGCAGTTATGCTGTTCACATATGATCAAAAGAATGTTTGAAATACTTACGAAATTTTAAGTTAAACTATTCTACAACAATGATAATCGAAAGGATAATTTATCCGTTCGATGAATGACTACAGAAGAATCGAGAATGCTACAGTAAAATGTATTCTATTCAAACAAGCAAACAAATATTTTTTCTTTATAATATTAGTATGAATACCAGGACTCTTTAGAGAAAGATATATTTTGGAATAAAGATGTTTAACTATCCATTTCTCTAGCTTTGAAAAGGAGTAGGTACCTAAACAGTACGAGAGAGATCTGTTCGAGGAAGGGACTAATTGAAAGCGGTGGACATCACAAGAGTGAGACGTCATGAATCTGAGAGATGCGATCATAAACTTAAAAGGTTGGAATGCTTTTGATGGTATTAGATGAAATCTCCAAATAAATAAAGAAAGAAATACATTACTCTACATAATTTTCTTAGCCAAATGAAAAGAAAAACGTGGTGGATGAGTGACTGTGCCTCAACAAAACAGCTATGCTGTTACAGCGATGATTATTCTGGCAAAACATGTGCGCTGCTAGTCATTATTTTTCTATATATGCATATGTATAAGCACATAAACGCCTTTGGTGCAAATTCTTAAACCATAACAATCTTGGGCCATCACTTCAATATCATTCAGTCAACCATTAGGTAAATAAAATGAGCAGGTCCATTTAGTATAATACAGAGTTATTCCTACAAACCAAACTATATTTATATAATATATTTTAAAAGTTTTATCTGAGAATATTATTATGATAATTCCTTATAAAATAAACGATATATATTTATTAAACACCATTAAGAAATGAGACTAATTTATTATTATAACCAGTTTATCCGTCCCG